CACCTGGTATCTTTGCTGCAATTAACAAGGTTAATCTTCCTGGTCTCACTTTGCTCAGGTAAATACCCTGCTTCTATTCAACCTGTCCGAAACTTTCCAGGCTCTGAATCAACAAGAAGCAGTAGCTACTGCTTTTCATTCACTACTCAGCAAGCACCAAAGACAGATGCAGTTCTTACAGATGAGTTTGTAGAGCATGAAAACAAGCAAGTTCTGATGACAGTTATGAATGAAGCTGGTTTTCAGATGGTCCTCTTGCAAATGTATGCAGGCAGTAGCCATAATGCTGTAACTACTGCATCTAATACATGAATCAGCTATGTTTGGGATGCTAATTGTGCTTCCTGAGCTGTATTGGCTTTTTCTGTAAAAGCTGCATGCTGGGAAGCAGATGAAAGCTATTGAACTGTACTGGTTCAGAGTGATAGATGGACCCTTCAGGTCAATAAAGAACCTGTTTGGTTAATACAGCCCTCTGACTGGCTTGAAGCATGTTTCTAGGGTCTGAAAGACTCTTGGCATTAGCTGGCCATCACTTAGTGGTTGAGAGCTCTCTTGGTGGTCCTCTTGGCTGAAACTAAGCTGATAAAACCAGCCAGATGTCCTATTAACGCTTGATCTTACTTTTGCTTTTTTAAGATAACCCAATAAACAAGGTTATGTAACCTAGTTTTAACATAAGAGCTTTAATAAAATATACTTTTAGAAATATATAAATATATATGAAACTATATTCCAGGCAATGGTAAGCCCTAGTTATTTTCCCCTGTGGCAAGAAGACTGGAGTTGACCAGCCTGTTTTTCACTTTGAAATACTAAGAGCTGACAGGTGCAGAGGCTGGGAAAGTGGTATCAGCTCAGTTGCCGGCTCAGAGAAGCTCCCAAACCTTGGTGCCTGTACTGTTGTGGCTTGGCTTGGTGGGAAGAATGGATTTGAAGACCCTCCCAGGGATTGAGCAAGCTGGTGTGCTGCTTGTGGCTCCTACTAGCCTGCAGGGAAGAGTGTGATTTAGGGTGACAGGTTGCTGTTCTTTCCTCTACAGTAGCTGGCTTCTAATTTTCTGACTGGAAATGTCAGTAAAAGCAAGAAAAACACTGGGTTTTTTGGTCACTAATGTGCTGGATCTTCATGCTGTTTTTCAGCAAGAGAAAGGAAGGAAAAATAAAGAATTTTGCATCTGTTGCATTTATTTGCTGTGTGTGGGTTTCATGTACTCTCTGCAGCAAGCCTAGTGACTTGTCTGGCCTTTTCCATTTAATGGAGGAGCTTGAAGAGAAATTAGGGAACCACTCTTAATAGCCAGTTCTGTGCAAAAACACAGTAAAGGTATCTCTCTGCCATCCTGTGAATATAAACAGCATTTAATAGATCTGATCCTCCTTTTTAGCCAAAGGGAGGATTCCCTTACCTTGTTTAAGTTTAGCAATGAATCAGCCACTTACACCTGCTTGTTTCTAGTAGGAAACCACTTCACTAGTAGAAAAATCCTTAATCAAAGTAGACTATGCTCTTTCTGCCTTGGGTTAATTTGCTGAGGCTTAGGAAGAGAATGATAAACTCCTGGAAAACATCTCGGCTAGCTCAAGAGGTGAACTGGGAAACTTGGGAGAGCTTTTTGATGTGCTGGAGCTCTGCATATTTGATTTCTGGCAGAGCTGACTGGTGCAGTTTCCTATGTAGGTTTTAGATTGTTTGAATTACATGTGTAATGAAGCACTTTGTAAATTATATCCCTCCGGGGGAGACTTGAGCTTGGAAAATATCAGGTGGAAAGTCTGGGTCTATGTCTGAGGTGCTTATTTGGGCTTACTTTTTCCTTAGGGAGAAGTTATGAAGCTAATTAACTTAATGGGTTGGAAGAGCATTTAGGTGTCTGGCACAGCAAGGTAGAGAAGGTAGACATACTCCTCCTAAGCATTGTGGTCTCTTCTCATCCTTTTGGGGATGTGTTTTTAAATAGAATTCCTGGCCTTGGGACTCTTTGGAGGGTTGATGATGAGATTAGCTGTAATCCAGGGACTGAGTCCTTGCCCCTCATGTCCTGGCTGTTGGTGAGGAGCTGGCCCCTCTTTTCTGACCTCTGCTCAATCTTGTAGAGCTGTACACAATTTCACTTGAAAGTGACGTTAATCTGGCTGTTTAATGTCCTCTTCTGCCCTGCCTTTATCCTTTCAAGCAATCCAGTGTGTGCTGTGGCTTCCCTTCCTAAAAGTGATTGGCACAAACCCCTGCAAAGCAGGGCAACCTCATCTCATTGCAGGCCTTAGCATTGTTTGTATTGATCCATGGATATCTATCTTGGATCACTAATGGGCATCAAGTGGAAAAGGTAATACGTTTCTATTGCATTTGAATTCATCTCTCACTTGGTTCCTTTGGACCAGCTCCAGGATCTTGTTAAGAACAGAAAACACTGATCATCTTAAAGGATGGGAGGGGAATCTGACCATTCAGGCACAATGACTTGTATCTCTTCCCCATGAGTTGAGCAGTAAAGCCCACAGAGGAGGAGGAGAGTTGAAAGAGTCACCCAATGGATTTAGTTGTTTAAGATGCCTTGAGCACTGGAGAATAACTGCAGAAAGCAGAGTGTAACATCCAGAAGACTTCTTTCTGCTTCATTAGCAGATGTTGGGGAGCACGTAGGAGACCCAGGTTCTTCCAGCACCTAATGACGCTTTTGATGCTTTTCAGCAACTGAGCCTCAAATCCATCTTAACACAGCTCTTTCCTTGGTGCTTAAGACAAATCTAGGTTTCAGCCCCCGCTGCTTCGGTACTCAGTGATCTTGTGTCAATCCTTGCCATAGTTTGAGGTCCTGTTTTGCCAATTGGTTCTGGTACGTTCTAATTTGCAGAAGACACCTGTTCCTTAATTATCACCATCCTTCGTCTGTCTCTCTTTGTTTCAGCTCTTTCTGACACATGAGCTATTAACATGATTTGAAGGGAGGCTATGTTGAGCAGTGTGTGTGTTGGGAGAGGAGGTTGAAAGAGATTAGTCACAAACCTGAGAATAATTTCCAGTAAGAGAGTTGGTGTTTACTTTGGTTTGATCTGGGTCCTTGACCTACATCACTCTTTAGTCTAAAGTTTATTTAGTCCTTTGGGGTTTGTGCACTATCCTAGGACAGAATGGCAGTCTGTAGAGGGCAGGAAAGGGTGACAGGAGAGTGGAGTTAAGCTCCTGATTAGAAGAAAGGAGCAAGAGGGAGAAGAGTAAAAAGAGACTTGTAACTGGCTGGTTTGCTTCTGTGTTAAAACTGGAAGTGTCTTAACTGTTAAGGCTGTTTTAGCTCTTGGTCTTGCCAGTTACGCCTGTGTTGTAGTATTCTGCGTGATTTCAGTGTTTCCTCCAAGGATCCTCAATTGCTTCACAAATCTGAATTCTGTGCATGCTTTCTGCCCCCTTTTTTTTTTTTTTTTTTTTTTTAAAGCAGAAAAAACAAGATGGTGTAAATGATGGCCTTGGATCAGAATATGTCTTCACCGAGCGATGTGTGAAACCAACGGTTCTCTCCTTCGGTCCCCTTCTGGGTTTACTTTGGTTGTCTGAGAATACTTGTGATGCAAGGCATTTCCAATTTGCCTTGCAGATATTCAGAAACTGTCTCAAAAAAGGTTTCTTGGGGTTGTACTAGTCTTAAAATAGCTTGGATTCTGTTCTGTCACTGACTCTGTTGGGGTCAACAGAGACCTTGAGGCTCCACAGCCTGCCCCTTTGATTCCCAGTTCTTTTCTTCTTTTTTCAAACTGCTTTAAGAAGTCATGGAAAAGAGCAACGTGTAAATATTAATGTTGAATATTAGTCTTTAAAAATCCCAAAGGGATGCTCAACAAATCTGTACCGAGTGTGCTGTGGCTTTCTAGATACCGCGTGCTTACAGCTTTTGGACCTGTTTAGTGTATCGCTAGCCTGTACCATCCCATGGCAGGGCTCTCTTCTCTAACACCTGTTTTGTCTCCCTGTCACAAGTAGCTTCTCTCAGTTCATGTTCAGACCTCAGTCAAGGTGTGTTGTCTTCCTGCAGTAAAGTCTTTTCTCTTCTGTCTGGAGTAGGTAGGGCTCAAGTGCCACTTGGTGCCTGGGCAGGGATGACGGGTGCTGCACAGGACACCGCTCCTCTGGATGTGGGCTGACAGCATGGTTGCCTTGTGTGCCCTAGGAGAGTGCTAGAAGAAACTCGCAAGGGAAGCTGTGTAGTCCTAATTTCCAGCTTTGTTGGATATGTTTTGCAACCCAGCTGAAAGGGATGCCACAGACTGGTACTGCAACATACCCCAGTTTAATTTGCTAAGAAACACTGGTCTCTTACTATACATCTAAGAGGCCAGTGAAGAAAGATCTGTCTTTATTGACAGTACCTTTAATTTCCACACTGACTGAAGTTCTTTCTTCTGAGTATCTCTTTGATTATTTTTCTTCCTCACTTTGCACAGGTTTTCAGCTTCCAAGTCAACAGCTTAACTGTTATGCTATAGCTTCCCACAGTAAAACAAGCAACTTAAAGCTTGGGGAAAAAACATTCCAGGCAGACCTGGCTCCATTGCTGCTGAGCCTGGGACACCCCGAAGCTACCCCATCAATGTTAATGTGAGCAGACAGGTCATGGCTATTGCTATTCAGACCTAAACTGAGCATGTACCCGGACAAAGAGGCCACGGTTTAATATTTAATGTTCCAAAAGGCTGCACTGAGAGCTTTTACTGAAATGTGTCAGTAAAGGAGTGCTGTAGCAGTGATAGCAAGCGGCTGAGAGCCAAGAGGATCCTGTGGTCTACTTCTGCCCGAGGCATGTTCTCTGATACCAAGCAGCTTGCTTGACCCCCTGTGTCTCAGCCAGCTTAGCTGTAAAATTAAGCAACAAAGAAAGCTCCATGACGAACAGACATGTCTGGAGGTAAACTTTCAAGGCGAGCTTTGCTTGACTGATAAATTCATCTTATTAGCAGAATTTCTGGTTTTTTTAACCTAATGTGTGGTTTTGTTGTCCTTCCAGGCAGCATTCACTCTCCTCCTGGGTCCTTTCACCTTCTTCAATGTGCAGAAGACCAAGTATCTTCAAATCATGACGTCCCTCATGAGATGGATAGGTGAGTCTTGGCAGAGTCTTGGCCATCTCTTTACCGTAGATGGAACCTGAGTCACACTACTGATGCATCTCTTTGGCAAGATATTCTTGTTCAGAAGCAAGTGCTTGTCAAAACAACCACTTTGAGGAGGATTGTCCAGGCCTGATAAATCTTTGAGGAAAAGGATTTTTGTTCTAGGGTGGAATCTCTGATTAAAACAAAACAAATTGTTCTCAGTCAGACGTGAGCTGGTAGATGAAGTTTTAATCTGATTTGCGTGAGAGGCAGAAGGGATTTGGAAGAGCGTCCTGTGTGGGGGCTAACCGTGATACCCACCAGTTGCTGTTCAGCAGGAAGTTTCTCATTCTCCCAGCATGTGTACAACAGACTTTGAAGAATCTTTTGTTTTGATCTGAGAACAAAAGGCAATTCTGACAGACTTTCTGCCCTTAGTTTTAGTTTTATCATCTGTTTGCATTTTCTTTTTCCTGGGCCTTGCTTTAGCGTAGGATGTGCTGCATTGGAAACCCCCAAACCAATGTGTGTTGTCCTTGGGAAGCTCCGCTCTTGTGAGTTCTCTCCAAAATCTTATTGCCAAGAACTTCTGGGAAGACAGATAATTCCCTCAAGGGAAATAAGACATCACTACTTCCCCCACCCCCCACCCCCCCAGTGCTTTTGTCATCCAAAGATGCAGCTGCCTTCCATCTGACTTGTATGTGTACATGCCCTTAAAGGCTGAGAGAGGTGTGTGTGTTACGGAGGCTTATGTTGAGGTTTGTCTTGTTTTGTGTAACCTGGACAGAGTAACTGATATTCAGGGCTAACAGAGAAGGTGTAACAGCACCAGCAGCTTTTCTGCAGGTTAACATCCTCCTGGTACATGGGTCCGGACCATTCAAGCACTGAATTAGTTCTGTTTCTACCTATCACTGACCTGGAATAGGAAGAAAAGCTGCTTCTTGGACTATTTCCCACCACGCACATATGCTTGACCTGGCTTCAGTTGGGTATCATCCCTTTTCTGTGAGTTCAAAGGCCTGTGATCCTGTTTGGAAGTGGCTGGCAGTCACTGCAGAGGAATAGAGATTCTGTATTCTAGAGAATATCTGAGACGGGGTTAAGCAGTTGTCACCCAGGAAAATGAGGTTGGATTTTAAGCCCTCAAGTCTCAGATGCTGAACAGCTTGAGTTAACAAATCCTGACCTCGGATGGTGTGAAAATCCTGAATGTCTGTTTTTCCCTTTTGTTGTCTGAGCACATGAAAGGTTTGAAAAGCTCCCATGTTCTTCAGAGAAAGAGGTTATCTCATTAAGGGGTATTAAAGGAAGTTGTGGGGTTTTTATTAAAAAAAAAAAAAAAAAGAAAAGTAATCTCTGCTCAGCTCACTGGCCTGTTTCCAATCAACCTGCCTCCTCTTTCGTGATAAAGACACCAGTCAGACCTCATCCTGTCTCTGTGACAACCTGACGCCTGCCTGATCTGCCACTGGTTTCCCTTTAGCCGGCTCCTTCCAGTATGAGGATTGCTAAACCTTGGTGTAAAGGCAGAACTGTTTCTCTTTTTCATCGCTTGATGGAGAGGGACAAAGGCAGTGTTTGCAGAAGTGTAGGGGAAATTCATGCTTTAGCCTGATTGATTCCTGCGTCAGCACGCTGGGGAACAGCTGCCCCAGATAATGATATTTAATGACCCTGACAGCACCTCAGTGGCTACTTAGAGCAACAGATTCGTATGTGTACAATGAGTGATAGATTTATTAGGAAAGACGATTTATCAAACAGCCATGTGATGCAGGGAGCAGAGGAAAGCTCTTGCTGCAGATTCCGGGATAAGGATGGATCATGTACTGCCAAGATTTATCAAGCTGGCTTCTCCCATGTCCTCACATCACTGCTGTCCCCTCCTCCAAAAGCAGGGCTGTGAGTTAAACACGGGTTGGTCTTTTGTTGGTACTTGGAGAGCCTAGATCCTAAAGACTGGTCTTGGCTGGTGTTTTGTGGTCTCCTGAACTTTTCCTGCCTGAATGCCAATGGATGGATGTGGACTCTCTGTCCTGCTATAATTTGGGCCTTTTCTTCATCTTTCTATAGTTGGTTTTAGCCATGTGGTGCTGAAGGTGGTTCACCTTCTGCAAAGCACTCTGAGCAGCAGAGCTGAACACTGGAGCTGCCAGCCTGTTTGTTTTGCTGGGTAAAAACCTCCCACATGCATAGTGGCTTATTCAGCTTACCTGTGTCCGCTGGCCTGGTGTGGATGGGAAGCTGACCCATGCTTTGCATCATGATATAAAAAATCAAGCCTACTTGAGCTGGGAGGTCAGTACAGGCTTTGCAACACCTACTGCAGGACCCACTGTACACCCTTTTACCCAACCTGGTGAAAAGCCCCTGTGTTTTGGAGCAGCAGTGGCTGATGTAAAGCTGCACTGCCCCAGGTGTACTGGTGATTCAGATGACAGTGGCTGAGAGGATGGTTCTTGGCAGCAGGGAGAGCTAGCTGTGTGTGAAGGTCATTTCTGATGGTGTTTGTAACAGTGTCAGCCTTGCCTTTGAAAGTTGCTTTCCCTCTTTCTCCTGATCTAAGTGATAATCAAATGTCACTAGCCTCTTTCCAGAGCCTTGTGCTCATTGCAAGCAGCACATCAGCTAACAAAGCCTACAGCAGTCTCTTTCCATGCCTCATGGACAAGAAAAAATTCATTCTGTCTCTGAAAAACACAGTCTTAAACACTGGGACCTGAACTAGAAATTAAAAAGGGGCCAGTTCAAAGAGTGTGGAGATGTGGCAGGGATCAGCCCTTCATCTGGCTGTGTTTTTTTATCCCAGGGTAAGGGACTAGCCAGGACAGGCACCTCTGAAGTCTCTAAAAGGAGAAAGTTGAAGGAGGAGCTTGCAAGCCTAAATGCCATACTGCTAGGGCTCCCAGACAGATGGGTTCTTGTTGGCTGGGCCTGCCGAACACAGAGAGCTCATCTGGAAACAAGGCTGGCATGGCGAGGCGTTTCCCTGTCAGGACCGATAGGAGCACAGAGGGTGGATCTGCATCTCCAGGTGGAGTGGGGCTGATGGCAGAGAGAGGGCTTCCAGAGGCATTGAGCTGTTGGCAGTCTTCTGAAGAATAGCAGCTTACACACTTAGCTGCAAAACTGATTGCCACCTCCTGTGGGTGAGTGCCAGTGGTTAAATTCAGTGCAGCAGTCGGTGCTTGAACTGCTGGCCTTATCTGTGCTTAGAGATCTCTGTTCTCTCAGAGGTGGTGGGTGTGTAAGGGTTTGCCTACACACGCTCTCATCCCTTTCCCAACTGTAAAAGCTCCTCAGGCTGCTGTGTCAGCCCTTTCCTGCTCGTGCCTGAACTGCCTTGGGAGACTGAGCACAGGTACCCTAAGGGGTGTGACAGGGAGCCTGTCTGCTGTGCTTCCCTGGAGAAAGGGCTAGTCTAGAAAAATCACTTGTTTAAATCCTGGTAATGGTGCTTACAGTGAAGCCTTGATTTGAGTTAGGGATAAAAGTTTGTTGGCTCAGCCAGCTCTCGAGCAATGCTATTAAAAGCAGAGACAGGGCCCAGACGGGTCGACCGGGTAAGTATGAATCGTCCTCTTGGGGTGAGGAGGATTCCTTCCCCAAACTGTAATTCCTTCCTTCCTTTCAGCTCCCTTCAACCTCAGCCTTACGGAATTGTAGAGCTGCTCTTAGCCCAAGTCCTTTACCAGTTTTGGTGCCTGTCTCCAAGTCTCTTACAAGGTTCTTGGAACAGGGTGTCTCCTGCAGAAGGCTAAACCAACTAAGCCTTCTGTTCTGCTGTTTTGGACCTCAGGCTCTTTTTTCCTGGAGGGTTTAAATCTGTGGTGGCGATGGATTGCTCCCTAAAGAGACTTGAATATCTAGCTTGTTTTTTTCCCCTCCTTTCTCCAATCCTGATCAAGTGGGTGGTGTTAGGGTGAGCTGCTGGAAGGCATGGCACAGCAAAAGGGACTGAGCCAGGTAAGTCTGATGCACTTCTCGAAGCAGAGGGGACATAGCTCGCTGGGGCACAGCCCTACCTCTTTATTATTGGATAATATTGGATAATAACTGTCTAGCAGCGTCATGGGAAAGGATATGGATTAGGAAAGATAACAAAAGGACAGGGCTTGGTGGAGCTCAGCAGCAAACATTGGGCTATTGTGTATTAAGCAGCTAACCCGATTAATTGCAGCCTGTTACAGCCTGAGATGCCCAGCTCTATAGGTGAGGACTGTTGGCTTTAAAGACATTGGTAGCATGATTATCGCTGCTGTTATTGAAGTCACTGGCAAGTGTTCCCAGACAGCTCCCACGTGGGACATTTGCTCTATGTGCTGCTCTTGATGCTGTATTGTAGTTATTAGAAAGTATTGTATTTTAATAAAGAGGCATTTTATAGAGGAATAAACTTCTGGGTTTGGTTGCTGCAGGCTCAGTTCTCTCTCCCTGTAGCACAGTTGGATCATACCACATCTATTCAAGTAATGGCAGCCCTCAAGACAGAGCATTCCCAACCCTGTCTGAACTGTGATCTCACAATTATATGCCCAGAAATAAAATCTCTCCCCTAGCTCTTTCCTCTGGCCAGTAAATGGAGGGAAAAAGGACAAGAATAGCTAGGAAGTCTGTGTTAAGCTCTTTTCTCTGTCCCGTCCCCTTGCAGGATACTGGGTAGAAGGCTTCTAGGGAAGAAACTAGGAAAGGACTCTCCAGCGCGTGCTGGTGAGGCTGACTTTCCATATCTACTAATTTGTCTGATAGTTCTGCTCTCTCCACGAGAATCCTGCTCTTTACAGGACTCCCCAGCACTTCTCTGCAGAGAACTGGTCTCAGACCATCTCACTTTGTGAGCAGGTTTCAGCTGCTGTAGTTAACTGTCGCTGCCATCCTTAGCAAGCTTAACCAGCCAGGCTGGAGTTGATTCAGTGCAGAAACCTGGCATTGCTTTACTACGTCCTTTCACCTGCAGAGACCGAGAATTGTAGAGGAGACTGATATAGGAGGGGGTGACA